GAGAAGAGGAAGAAGGATCAAATGAATTCTTCATTTTGATCTGCTATGACCTATTTTCTTTGTGGTGGAGGCATTGTAGGGAGATGGGAACCAAGGAGGGACAAAAGCAAGGACGGCTAAGAGGGGATAGGAAAGAGTGTGTCCAAGCACGTGAGCAAATGAGAGATAATGTACAGGCATGCACATATATAAGAAAGAAACTGAACAGGAGGCCCAGCATATGCCAATGATTATGGCTCTTTTATTCAGTATAAAGATACAAGAAGACATAAAAGCATTCACAGAATCACTTGTGAAAAAGACTTGAATCCTTTCTGCCTACTAAGCTTACTAATTTTTGAGCTGGAACCTGTCACTACTCCCTTAATGGCACTTTGATCTGCATCAACAAGTGAATGAGAATGTTTACCTCCTTGATATAAATAACCATCTGTGGATATCATCATATCAAACATCTTCTAAAGGCCATGATTTCTTTTTATGAGCCAGTTGGTAACTCTAGTCACTACCATTGGACATCTGTCTTAAGTATTCTGGTACCAGATGAGATGAGATGAGTATCCCTAGCTCTCATTAGAAGGTAGACCTGAGGAATTCCTACAGCTTCCTCTGCCCAGTTTGATATGCTTGTATTTGAGATAGCGACTTACCCAACAACATGCATTTCTTATTATGAGTTTCCATTTGCTACAGTGACTGCCTACTCATCTACCAATATTTTGTTTCTTCATTCAAGGTGTTCTGCTTATATACCACCCCATAGCACTTAAAGTACTTTCTGGGCAGTTGTTTTTTTTTAATGATGGAGGCTACACATTGCCCCCTTCCCTGAGCTGGTAACTGGATTTGCCAATCACCAAAGGCTGGAAGGCTGTAAGTGAATTGAAAGCTGGCAATTCACTCAGTGGATTTAAGCAGAGTTTGGAAATGTCTGATGAAGTTTCTTCTCTTTTTTAAACATGGTAAAGCAGCCATGCTAACTGGGGATTGTCAGAGTTATAGTATATTAAAAAGGAAGGAACTTTTCCAAGCATTGGATTAAAGTACCAGCCAACATTATCTTGATAGTACTAACATGTCTGCCTCTCCTTGAAAGAAATTAATTTCTTCCTCTCTATATTTACCCTCTAACCTTATCTTAAGTCATTCTGAAATCTCAAAAATTAGATCAGGTTCCTCTGACAGACAAGTATAGATAGGAACATGAACTACAACAGTAGTAGTTAGGGGGCAATTTACATTTCCAGCATCAAAGGCTGAATGCCAAAGGGGGGTGGCTTACCTTGAATGTTACTAAGATGCTAAACCAGCACTTGCAAATGGAGTCCTCTGTCAATCAACAGCCAATGTTCAAAGGCCAGGGTTCCAGCTCCTGTATGTTTTTGTGGTATGCCTACTTTACTTCCCCCCCCTCTTTTAGATTTACTGTCTTTGCCTCTAGCACATGTTCGTGTTTCTCCAGCCTGTGGATCTCCACATCCTCTTGACATGAGTCCCCAAAGAATTATCTTGTTGCTTTTTTTAATCATTCATGAGAGCAGTCCTCCCTTCCTACATCCAGATGTTTCATTTAGTTCTTCAAAGAAAGACAGGTGCAAGTCAGTGCAGATTTCAGAAATGTTTTTAAAAAAGAAACAGAAGGGGCTCATGAGCATAAGTGTGAAAGTAAAAAACCCAACACATTTGACACCAACATTTGTGTATGCACTCACAGGTTCTCAGATTATTCTGAGACAATAGTCTTCTTCTACAATGGACCAAAAAGGGAGTTCTAGACACAGACCTCTGTTTACTGGACATGATAACACTGTTACACCCCTTATCCAGGAATGAGAGATTTTAATCATGTTCCTCTGATTTTATTTGGGCTTCTTCTCTCTCTTTGAGTTCACTCTTGCATTAGTGCCTCCCCTGAATATATAAACAAATCTGAAAGTATGAGCCTGCTAATCTATGACACTAGTGGGAAAAGTGTAGCCTTTAACGTGAACCCTCACACAACTTCCCAGACTATCCTGTCTCTGGAAGTGTTCTCTACATTTTGGGGAAAATAATTGGGGGAAGGA